GCAAAGAGAGCCACATTTCACACTGAAGGGTGTGTACGACATCAGTAATGTTATATCAATTCCAAGAATGTTTAAGGTTATATCGGTTGATGAGGAATTTATTGATTAGGCCTATAACAGCAAATTGCTTCAATTTATTTTGCAAAAACAAGGTTTCCAGCTTCAGAGGGAGGCACATCACCCTTCTAGTTTAGCCCAGTAGGTTAACTGACATTCAGGGGCCCTCTTTAATAAAATTAAAGAACAGTACAAACAACATCATCACAACATAATAATAATAATAATATATTAATAATAATAATAATAACAATAACAATAACAATAATAATAATAACAATAATAATAATAATAATAATAATAATAATAATAATAATAACACTAATAATAATAATAATAATAACATACAATCCTCATTTCCCGGTTAGTAATTTACCATACCCACCCCACCCCACCACACTCCACATATAGAAAACAATACGACATAGGGCTTATCTTATTTATAATATATGCTACACACGTGTGTTTGAAAGTAAATATAAGCATTTTCATCATGGTTGTATTTATTACAAACACATTCTTTTCACCATCTATACACATTGAGGCCCTTCTTTTAGGTTAAAATGATCTATCTTAAATTTGTCTTTCTTGAGTTTGGGACAATATGTGTTTAAAAAAAAACTTAAAAGGATAAAACTAAAAAAACCTTAAAAAATGCGCGCCAAGCGCGCAAAATATTTTTGTGTTTTTAATTCTAATTTCGTCGGAATTGATGAAAACTATCTAAAATGTGCAATTTATAGAGGAAATTGAAATTGTCCTACCGTAACAAGAAATGTGCGCAAAGAATTTGAGAATTTTAGGCACTTTCTGAGGATGCATTTGTCAAGGAGTGGAGAAAGATTTCCAAAGATGGATATTTTCCCCTTGTCCCCCAGTGTTTTTAATTCTAATTTCATTGGAATTGAACTCCCTAAAATGTGCAATTTTTAGAGGAAATTGGGCCATGTTAACAAGAAATGCGTGCGAAATTTGAGGTTTTTAGGCACTTTCAGGGGATGAAAGGGCATTTATAAAGTGGGGGATGGGGAAGATTTTTCAAAGATAAATATTTTCTCCTTGTTCCCCACTGGTTACGCCATCGGGCAGCATAAATCAAAGGAGTTATGACAGTTTTTGAAGTGGAGAAGGGGTTGCATGAGTGTTGTGAGTCTGGTCATTATGATATCTTCCTTTTTATTCTTGTCTTTATTTTTCTCTTCTCTTTTTCTTTCCTTTTCTTTTCCTCTTCTTTCTCTTTCCCTCCCTCTCTCCTCTTTCTTTTCTCTTATTACCCGGCCTGGTACGACGGCTTGGTCGGCCCGGTAAAAACCGTTAGGGGAGGGGCAGTTTTCCCCCTCCCCCCCCAAGCGCCTGTTACGACACTGGCTAACACGCCAATCATCCCCCCAATGAAAAATATTTTTCTACGCCACTGCAAACCAGTCACTTGTTGCAAATCGTGTTTCAGAAGTACTGTAACATTTGGGCAAAACATGCTGGAATGCAAACATTTTCTAAATCTATTTCATTACACTATTCCTTTATATATTAATTAATACATTATGCTATGCTGTTATTTTTCCCATTTTCAATGTTAAAACAAAATTTTTAACGATTTTGTGATGGTTCCTACCTGAAAAATGCCTGAAATCATAAATTTTGAAGGCTGATTTCTCAAATATTGTTCTTTTCAACAACTGCATGTTTAAACGCTTGTAACTTCATATTAGGAAATGTCAGATTTAAATGATTTTTTACCACTTTATAGCTCTCATTGTAAGGTTTGACCCTCTATTAATAACCACAATATTTGCAACGAGTGACTGGTTCTGCTTGTCTTTGCCACACACTCTATGCTTTAGTTGATAGCATTTCAATAGTTTTGTCTACAGTAACGCAGGTGAGTAACACAAGAGGTCGTAGTGAATTTCACTAGTTCTTGTCCCAATATTTCCTTACGTGGGATGGAATCACATATGTCACGTCCTGCAGGGATAATTTGCAAGACGGAAAATAATTCAAGATGATAAGAACACATTAAGGAAAAATGGCATGATTGAAAATGATGAGTCTTGAATTGGGAGGGGGGCTGTCTCTTATACACATCTAGATGATAGGAATAAAGTGGCCTATTTGTACAGTAAGTATTGGGTGGGGGGGGGGGAATTATGGTGGGAATATTAAAGATTGCTGGTACGAAAAAAAAACTTTAGTTCAATGAGGAAATACCTGTTGTACATACCTTGATAAATGATCAACAAGGTGCTCTGTCTTATCATTATCAAGTAATGGGTACATATCCTGAATTTCCAAAGGCCTCTTATAGCCTATCTTGAACAGAGGAGTAAGCCAACTAGTAGGAGAAAAATATGAATAATAATAATTTAATAAAACTACTTTTTAAAATAAAAATATTGAAACATTGTAAAAAATATAATATGAAATTTTAGGTACAGTACAGTATGTCTGATTTTGCATGGAATACCGTTCCATCAATCAATTTACAGATTACAGGCACAAATCGTCTGTAATTTCTAGGCCACAGACATAGGTCATTCAAGGAAATTAATTTATTTTCTCATTCACCCTGCTTCTTTTTTGTACCAATTCAAATTATTTTTCACCTTGTTTCAACATTGCAATTTGCAACCCTTTTTTTCAACTTGACCTTAAAGCATTGATAACTTACAACAAAATTAGGGGGATAAACTTAATTTCTCCAGAAAAGGTTTTGATGAGAAACCATATATTTTTACTGGTGGTCCTATGTTCATGTTCACCAAAGTATGGACAAAATCTTATTCTTCTCTAAGAGCATTTTTATTTATTTTTTATAAGAAAACATTTTATAAGAACACTGAAAAAAAAAACATTAAGAAGGCTGAAATTGATTAAAAATTAAGAACAAAATAGAACAAATTGAAGCTGAGGTAAAATATCAAATGATATTACAGTAGAACCTCGTTTATACGTACCCCAGTTATACGAAACCTCGGTTTTAGGTACGCCTCATTTCGACAATGACGTCATCAAAAACCACAAAAACATTCAAAACGAACAGCCCTTTTCAGAGCCACCATAATTAAAAAGAGATAATGTTACTTCTGTCTACTTATTATTTCAATACTAAAACAATAAACAAACCATATGCAACATATTTTCATTAAACAGCATTGTTGATTGAGTCTACTACCGGGCTGTTATAATCAGAACATCGTGAACTGATTTACGTACGCCCTCCGGTCCCGTACCTTATGTAAGATCGAGGTTCTACTGTACTAGAAAAACCAACAAATCTTATCTGGTGCAGTATATGTGACTACAGTATGTAATTCATTCTATAATACAGTTACAGTATACAGGTCCCCCTCTAATTTAAGACCCTACAAATCAAAGACCACCTCCAATTAAAGACCACTTTTCTGTGGTTCCAAATTCAAATTATTCTAATTAGAGACCAAAGCTGCTAAAAGACTATGGAAACCTGTAGTAATGCTGTACAATAATTATCTATGCTTGAAAAATGGAATGTGTAAAAATAATAACCGAAATAAGAACATTTTGAGCCTAAAATCGGCAAAAAAATAAGAACACTGAGCCTTGGCAAAAAGTGTATTCCTTTTCCTATGGCAGAACCCTTTTTATTTAAATTTTAATACGCAGCTCAGAAGAATGTGGTCTTTTTTTGATTACCTGAATTAATATGGAAGAACAAGTGCCATAAAATTTAATAAAACATGCCTGAATTCTAGACATTTTTATTAACCACCTCACAAAACACTTACATTTGCAGGTATTTAATTAAATTTTGTTTATATTATGCCATCTATTTGCTTCAGTACTGTAATATGTATGCACCGGTATACTTCAGGTTTTGATTCACCGTACAGTATATGTGATGACATTCTAGATCACACCCTGGCCACTTGCATTCTCTATATTCAGTTTACCTAAATATTCAATTCAATTCAATTCAAAGTAAAATTTATTTAATTCCTTTTCAATTCATAAAAAAATATAAATTTACAAGATCATAACAAATTTATCAATGCAAATTAGAAGCAGAAATAGTTGCTTTCCTTTTGTTTGTTCAAAGCATGCAGAAATGGAATATTTGATCATTTTGGAATATATTTATTATTTATAAATAATTATTTTTTCGAAAATATTATTTGATGTTCTCTGTAATAAAACCTTTGTTCCAAAGTCACTAATGCCCTCGTTTATTACCAGCTTCCCGCTCTATATTTTCGTGTAACTCTATGATTATTGGTCAAGAGACTTGATTGACATTTGTGTCTCAAATTATCTAGAAAGTATGCCTGTATTTTATATAATATATTTCTAATCTAGAGAAGTTATGACAAAAAATGATCAGAACTCAAACATATTATGACCCATGTTGCCCATAACTACCGATCATCGGGATCATCTTCTATCATCACATCTGTTGAATCTTAAAATCTGTGATAGATGTTAACTTTATATTTATGTAACATCCTTTGGTCCTATATGGAACAAATATCACAAGTATAAATATGTGGCTCAATATGAAACAATGATTTATAAGTATATATGATAAGTATTGTGTTAATTAAATTTTATGATTATTAATATTACGTGTATCACTTGGTGTTATTTTTACAGGAACAACGAAAATGTTACAAGGTCGACTGGGTTTGATACAAATTTCTCAATAACGTTTGTTGCAATATATATTATTAATGCATAAATTAAATGGAGATTTATAAGATAAATACAGTCAACAGATTAGTTTTTCATACATTTGTTTACTTGTCTGAAGCAGCACAAGGTTTGTATTTTCTTGTTTGTTTTATTTACATTTTTTATACATATTCTGATGTTTATAAAATACATACAGGTAGTAAAATGCAGATTTAATATACAATTTTAAATATATGTTAATAGCCATTCCACGGTTTCGGTCTTCAAGGCGGGCTTCCTTCTAAAGCTAGAAAAATTCACTACTTCGAGGCCTCCTGTACTAGTTGCCTGGTAACTAACCATAAAATCGGAAAGAATCTTTCCCACAACCAAGGTTCCCACGGTGCTCATGAGGGTGAGAAGACATATTCTTTGTACGCCGCCTTCAGGAATGTGAATGCATTACACTGCAAAGACTGAAGTAGGTCAGATGCTAAATATAGATGACTAGCTATTTTTAGCAGGTCATAGCAGTGGCAGTTTAAGTGCGTTCACCTATTTCATGTAACCATTAACTTTGAGTCATCAATCTGATGATCATATTTATAAAACACTGTGGCTAGAGATACGGTACCGTATTTCTACTTCAATTTGCTAAAGGTACGAAAAGTTTTGTGCATTCAAATTGTATGAATATTTTGGTGGGATTGTAAAGCGTGGTATTATTTCGAGCTTCTTGGACTAAAATTTGGGATGTAGGGATTATGAAGTTCAGACGGTATGATGACGGAGGAACTAGGCTAAGTTTATGACTGATATACTGTAGGCCTATGCCACTCAGATCAATGTCACCAGAGCAGCTGCCGCGAAAAGCAGAATCCAAGCAAGGCCGAGCAGGCTTGCTTAGATTTTTCGCCAAGCGAAGAATTTAAGCAAGGCCTAGAGGCATGCCAAGAGTTTGGTGGAATCAGTCCTTGTTTGATAATGGTTATACATAGGCCTAGCTAAATGAAACTCTTTACTAAATGGAACCATAAGCCTATTTATCGATAACAGAAAGTCAAACAATATTGTACTTTTTGATGTTCTAATTTCCCAGAACTGTACATCGTTCTCGTTTCACCGCTCATCGCGGGTGATCTGCAATGCAATGCTAGTCTTCAAAAATGACGTTACACACATTCTGGCACTTCATTGGGTGATGGTGACGTAATGCCATTTACCGTACCTTTAGCAAAACGAAGTAGAAATACGGTCTCTAGCCACGGCGTTTATAAAAATACATTAATTGTAAAATACTATAGTTTAAATGGAATGTACAAATACATATATTTTAATATTCTGATATAAAAGTATATTTGATTAAACAAATTAAATCATAATCATAACATTCGTGGCCTTTTTTTTTTTATTAATAATTCAGATATTGATAAATACAAATATGTACAGTACTTGACTTTTCACTTCTTATTAAGGAAGAAAAAGAACATGCTAAAATTATATTCAAATTACTTGTAATTAATATTAATCGTAAAAAACTTAAAGCCCCATTCCCGGCAAAATTTCAATTTTTAAGAAAAATCTAATTTTTGTATAATGTTATAAAGATTTATAAATATAATTAATACGGAATTGCTAGTTTAACTGAATTTAGACATTCGTAAGAATGAAAAAAATGTAAAATAAGACTGAAATTTGATTTTTTGTGTTCCACACAAAAAATAAATACGGATGAATTTTTCATGTTGATTTTGCGATAGGTCGTGAGAAGAAATATCGTAGGCGCCGAAAACATTAGCCTATCCAACGCTGCTGGCTAGGCCTAGCCTTACCTCGATTTTAGGTTCTGTTATCACACATAAAAACGGCCGACATGATATTTTCCGTTGCTAGTATTGTCGCTTGTTAAATATAATATTTCATAGGAATTATTTCAAATTTGTTAAAAAACTGATTCTGACTGAGATTTTGACACTTAAACAAATATATCTCAGCCTAACCGAACGACTGCATTGTCCGAGATGCGAAGTACAAAAAATAATCTCATTAGAGAGGGTGCACTTTATTGACTGTATAAAAGTATACATAAAAGCGAGAGTATTCCAGTGGATGCGATCTACAACCTCTGAATTTGCCTAGTAACGATGAATTCGTCCAGAAAATGGTAATATTTTTTGAGAAATAGTCTGTATTTCTCATTTTTTTTATTCTTTTGCGTAAACTAAAATTCATGCCAATATTTTTCCATGATTTGTAATAATTAGAGTAATGCAAATGAATATTTTCTAAAAAAAAGTCAGTTTTTAGTGAAATTTTGCCGGGAATGGGGCTTTAAAACAACAATCATATTAAAAAACAAACACACAGAATATTAGGCCTATGAATGGTAATCAAGCATCGTAAAAAAAGACAAAATAAATAAAATTACGGTAATACCCAGCCTGAAATACGCACAAAAAAAATACAGAACCATTTAAAAATTACTTTCCAAACATAAAGCACTATAACTGCGTATATCAGCGTTCCATACTGAGGCTGTTTATCGCGACCGAAATGATCTGTATTCGCTAGGCCTAGAAGTAGGCTAGATTAGCGTTTTTCTATATTAATTCTAACATAGCCTATGTCATAGGCCTCTAGGCCTATATAGGCTTAGCCTACTCTTATTAATTAAGGGAGTAATAGACCGAGTCTCACCAAAAGAACAGCCTCGACAACCAGGTAGCATTACGATAAGGGTGCTCATCAAATTCAAAGTTTTCATCATACCCGTCTTCCTTCTTTGGACATTCGCGGGGCTTTTTTGGATGGCTGTCGTCAGTGTTATTGGCCACCATGATGGTGCTCTCCAAACCTTCCTTCGGAGAGTACGGTGCGGATCAACCTAAAAAAACAGAGAGAGACCTCTCAAATCATGCCACCTTTCTAAACTTTATGTAACACTACAGTAGTTCTGACTTGCATTGCTCTTTTGGAAATCCGTGCTAAAAGAATTGCTGACAGTGCATTTCACTTTCCATCATAAAAAATTACCTTTCAAGACAAAACTACATATTTTAGAGAGGGCGCTACCACATACACACTAACAGCAGAGATGGCTCTGCACACTAAAGGTGGTGACATCCACATTATACAAATTATAAAAGAAGAAAAAAAATTATAAACAAGGCATTAAATTATTAACTAAATTAACAAAAATACATATAGGCCTACACTTACAAACTGCAATTGGCAATTAAAAGTACTATTCCAGACAAAGTGAGAGAAAGAGAGAGAGAGAGACTGGGGCTAATTACCATCAGGTTTTATTTATTTTATATTATTTAATCATATTTTACTACAATGATAGGTCTTATTTAAACCAGTTTTATTGTTACTTCATGTATGTTTGTGAAGATTTATTAATAGATATGCCATGAGAAAATGAATGAGCTATCTGGGGAATCACTGGCTCTGTGATCCACTAATTAAAAAACAAGTAAATTATAAACACGGCAATTACTAGAAAGTACTGCTCCAGACAAAGGAAGAAGGCCACCAACCAAGTGTCTATATAGCGCAAATAAGTTTTTGCTACAATGATACTTGGCAATTCTTATCATTTATTGTTACTTCATGTGTTCGTGAAGTTCTGAAACAAATTAGGATAGAATAAACTACCTGGAGGAAGTAACAATGAATAGGGGCCTATGGCAAACCAGTTCTCTTTGTGTAGGCCTGTGAAGCAACGTTTCCACAAAAAGTTTTTCATAAAAATATATAAATATAAGGAAGATCAAGAAAGAAAAGAAATTGAAACAAAAATCAGAATCTCGTTAAAAAATTACTTTACATACGGTAGTAGAGTAGTACTACTACCAGACAATTAAATAGGTTCCAACACAGTGTTAAGGCCCATGTTTTTTTAATGCGTGCATTTAAGAGTGACATAATCTGATAGTGATGATTGCCTTCTAGTTAATCAAATAATTGAATACCATCGATTGTTTCAATTAAATTTTACATTTACCCAATTTTTGTCATAACGTAAATTTAGATTAAATATGTGGCTCATTCCACATAAGTTTTAGTAAGTATTGCATAACGATTATACCACTTTAAATGTCGATGTATAACCAGTGTAACCTATAACAAAGCACTAAAAGCCAACCGTGGCCTACGTTTCATATCCACGTTTAACAATTATCTATTAGGAAATCAATACGTTGAGCCTCCTGAATAGCTAAAATGGATTGCCAACCCAGATCTCCTAATAAGTTTCCTTACATGTATTACGGGTTGCTTTAGAATTGCCTTAGCCACTTTCGTTTGTAATTTTTGAAGGCTTTGGATATATCACTTTTATACCAACACAAACATGAGGGGAGGGCGAGTTATCTTCCATAACAAATCTCCATACACTCTATTACAACATCTGTTCATCAATAATTGAATTGATCTATGCAATTATTTTGTTGCCATTTTTTAATAGTTCCTTCTATAAATTATGACAGTGGTCTGAAAGTGATCTCGTGATGTAAGTCCCTAAATATTTATAACTATGAATTTCAGCAATGTAGGCTTTAATCATTGCCATCAATTTCCAGTCTTTATCGGTTCTTTTCCAGTTAAAACATTTGATTGTTCATAGTTAAATTTTAATTTATAATCATTACTAAATTTTGAAGCGAGATCAAACATTACTTGTATTGTACATTACAAATCTTTATACCTTTCGTTACAAAGTTTGGCAAATTCATTTATACAAAACAGAATTGGTGACATTGCACAACCTTGTTTGACTCTTCTACTTCGAAATACTCTGTTTCTGCTCTCTCCAAACTTAACCATACCACAACATTATTAGGCCTATATACATTACGCTTTAGGTGTAAAACTCAGGAATGATGACGACATAATTAATGTCGGAATATTGAATCCCGACACGATACTTGTATGTATACTATATTTTCTGAGATTAATCAGTGGACCTTTCGGTAATTGCGTTAACGTTTCATTATTTACATATAATTAATTTACTGATTACATTATATATAAATAATGAAAGGCTAACCAAACATTATTTATATATAAAAGGGGTGGGCATAAAAATCGGTCAGAGGGCCAAAGTGAATTTCTGATTTAACACCGAGGGCCGCACCCAAACTTCGATCTTTCCAGTGCGCTTCTAAAAACCTCCAAGTGCTTTTACACCACTTTATTCCAGTTTTAATATTACTTTTTACATATGATCCGTGTCAGGCGGTAAAAAACACGGTGTTTTCTAGCCAATGTTGCTTGGCGGGCCGCACACATAGGGTTTTTATTTCATATTCGCGGGCCGCAAAAAAAATCGCTGTCGGGCCGCACTTTGCCCACCTGTGATATACAATAAGGTTACTGGTTTCATTATATATAAATAAGGAAGGGGTAACACATCATTATATATAAATAATGAAAAATAACTTAAAATTATTTATATATAATAGGTTCACTGATTCCATTATATATAAATAATGAAAAGGTAACAAATCGTTATATATAAATAATGAAAAGTAACTCACAATTATTTATATAGGCCTGGAATAAGTTCACTGATTTCATTATATAGCAATAACGAATGACCTCAAACTCATTATTTATAAATAACTGCTTTTACATTTCATTATATATAAATAATAGCTGTTGCAAAGTCATTGACTGTATATAATGCTTGGACTTCAAACTCATTATTTATGTAATGCACGCGTGCTATCGTGTCAAGGTCATTATATCTAAATAATGGTTTTTACTTCCAATGAAAGAAGGTGATTTTAGGGGATTTTTAACTACTTGACCGTGATGAAATTTATTCAGAAAATTAATCTCAAAATCGAGTTGCTGTCCCCGGCGTTGTCAGTGACGTCGTATGATTTGTGTGAGATTTTTACGAATTAACTTCTAAGTAGAAAATAGTTGAGCCATGTAGTACTTAGCAACTCAGAAACCCTTTAGTTTGTTGATTGTTGATTGGTAGCGTCTCGTCGCTGCCAAAAATAGATTTTTGGCAGTTGCGTCCCCAGTGACATCGTGAGGGCATGGTGAAGGGTGGTTACATGGCCAGATGAATGAAAATACTTAATCGATGTGCCACCAAATTGTAACCAGCCATCACCATTCCCTCACGATGTCACCGGGGACGCAACTGCCAAAAAAACCATATTTTTGGCAGCAAAGGGACACTACCAATAAACAATCAACAAACTACCGGGTTTCTGGGTTGATTTTCATGGTACTACATGGCTCAACTACTTTTTACTTAGGGGTTAATTGGTAAAAATTGCACACAAACCATACGACGTCACTGTCAACGCCGGGGACGTCAACTTGATTTTGAGAGTAATTATCGAATAAAGTTATACAAAATAACTTCTAATGACGAACTATTGTCTTCAGTTGTCTTTGTTGGTCATTCAACTGTCATTGTATCTATTTTTTCGGTGCTATTACCATTCTCATTAATCTATAAAACACCACAACAACGTCACGTTAGATCGATCGATGGGGACGCCGTGGTGACGGAGGTAGGGTCAATTTTCATCGGAAGATATCAAGATGATAAACAGTTTCATTGGACCAAATTCTTGCTTATGTTAACCACATGCTTATACTTAAGATTATACTGACACTGGTTTCAAATCACGGTCAAGTAGTTAAAAATCACCTAAAATCACCTTATTTTGCGAATTAGCGCCCCTCAACTGATCATCGAGCCCCAACACTTCACCTTCGCCCCCACCCCCCATTACAAGACATCTAGATACGCCACTGACTTACATGGCCAGATGAATGAAAATACTCAATCGATGTACCACCAAATCGTAACCAGCCTTCACCATGCCCTCACGGTGTCCCCGGGGACGCAACTGTCAAAAAACTATTTTTGGCAGCGAAGGGACGCTACCAATAGACAATCAATAAACTACCGGGTTTCTGGGTTGATTTGCAAGGTACTACATAACTTAACTATTTATTACTTAGGGGCTAATTGGTAAAAATCGCACACAAATCATACGACGTCACTGACAACGCCGGGGACGGCAACTCGATTTTGAGATTAGATTTCTATCCCGAATAAAGTTATACTAAATAACTTCTAGTATCGAACTATTGTCTTCAGTTGTCTTTTTTGGTCATTCAACTGTCATTTTATCTATTTTTTCGGTGATATTACCATTTTCAATAATCTATAAAACACCCACATAACAACGTCACATTAGATCGATCGGTGAGGACGCCGGTAAGGTCAATTTTCGTCGGAAGGTATTTAGATGATAAACAGTTTCATTAGACTAAATTCTTGCTTATGTTAACCACATGCTTACCTAAGATTATGCTGACACTGGTTTCAAATCACGGTCAAGTAGTTTAAAATCACCTAAAATCACCTTATTTTGCGAATTAGCGCCCCTCAACTGATCATCGAGCACCCCCTCCCCCCACTTCA